CTATTCCCTTCAAAGGGTTACCAGTAGAGTCACCAGCTGGTGACCAAGCTTTTAGTTTGTCTTTTTAATGGTATGTGTGTGTGACATTTAAAATTCAAACCAAAACAGTGCATTAGAAATTAAAACCAAGACACTTAAAAAAGTAACTCAGAACCAATTATAACCCCCCCCCCTTTTTTTTCCCTTTTTAAACTGTCTTACTGTGGAGCCTAGGCTAATCTCAAACTTGAAGGCTTCCTGAGTTCTAGAATTGTGTGTACCACCATGCCTGCATAATCACTTAAAAAAAAGACAAAAAACTTTTGACTAGAATTGGCAAATAACTTTTTTTAATCTTTTTTTTTTTTTTTTTTTTTTTTTTTTTTGAGACAGGATCTCCCTGTGGCCCCAGCTGTCCTGGAACTCACTATGTAGACCAGGCTGTCCTTGAACTCAGAGAGATGGGCCTGCCTCTGCCTTCCGAGTGCTGAGGCTAAAGGCGTGCGCCACCACACCCGGCTTTTAGTAGCTTTTTTAAAGGATTTATTTTTATTTATGTGTATGTGTCTGAGTGTATGCCACCATGTGTGCAGCTGTCTACAGAGTCCAGAAGAGGGTTGAAATTACAGGCAGTTGTGAGCTGCCCAACATGGGTGCTGAGAAATGAACTCTGGTTCTTTTAGAAGAACAGCAAACACTCTTAACTGCTGAGCCATCTCTCCAGTCCCAAATCCAAATACCAATTATTTTGGTCTTTTTGAGACAGGGTTTCCCTGTAGCCCCAGCTGTCCTGGAACTTACTGTGTAGACCAGGCTGGCCTTGAACTCACAGAGATCTGCTTGCCTCTGCCTCCCATGTGCTGGGATCAAAGGTGTGTACCACCATACCTGGCATAAATACCACCTTTTTTTTTTTTCTATCTTTTTGAGAGAGGGTCTCCGTGTAGCCCCAGCTGTCCTGGAACTCACTATGTAGACCAGGCTGTCCTTGAACTCAGAGAGATGGGCCTGCCTCTGCCTTCCGAGTACTGAGGCTAAAGGCGTGCGCCACCACACCCGGCTTTTAGTAGCTTTTTTAAAGGATTTATTTTTATTTATGTGTATGTGTCTGAGTGTATGCCACCATGTGTGCAGCTGTCTACAGAGTCCAGAAGAGGGTTGAAATTACAGGCAGTTGTGAGCTGCCACAGTCCCCTGGAACTGGAGTTAAGGACGGTTTGTGGCTGCCATGTAAGTTCTGGGAATCAAACCCGAGTCCTCTGCAAGAGCAGTCAGTGCTCCTAACCACTGAGCCATCTCTCCAGCACTCCCAAATACCACTTTTTAAGGAAAATTTGTTTCTGAAAACAAAAATGTGAGGAAAAAAAAGCCTTTTTTTTTTTTTTTTTCTATTTTAGTTTCTTTAACTTCTGGATTGAAAGAACTCAGCTGATTCTGATCCACATTCAACCTCTTGAATTATGTTGCTTGGGTTAAAGTATTTAAAAAATTTCCTCCTTTAAAAAAAATTTTATTTTATTTTTTATGCATATGCATATACTCAAGCTCACCCGTGTCATGCAGTGCTTGCAGCGGTCAGAAGAGGGCATTAGATCCTTTGGAACTGGAGTTAGAGACAGTTGTTAGCCACCATGTGGATGCTTGGAATCAAACCCAAGTCTTCAAGAACAACCAGTACTCTTAATTGCTGAGCCATCTTTCTAGCCTCTGAATTTCTACCTTTTATATGGCTTCATAATTGGGGGAAAAGGAGTACTTTAATAGCTTTTTTAAAGTTTTTTTGTCTTTTTGAAACAGGGTCTCCCTGTAGTCCCAGCTGGCCTGGAACTCATTATGTAGACCAGGTTGGCTTTGATTTCATGGAGATCCATCTTGCCTCTGCCTGCCAAGTGCTGGAATAAAGGCCTATGCCACCACACCTGACCTGAGTGATCATTTCTTAGTGGCTATTCCCAGAATGGAATTAAAAATTGTGTCAATGAATTTCCCAAAATATTAAATGAATTGATGTTTTGCAAAGATTCTTCTTTATACTTGATTTAGTGAAAGTAGGTCTTCAAAACATTGGCATATCCTACACAGTACAAAAATTTCTGTGTTTGTCACCATGAATCTAATCTTGAAAGTTTTGAAGTACTGGAAAGCTATCAAATTCATGATGGTGGATGTTTTCCAAAAGTCTAAATCTTATTTCAAAGACTAGATTTTATCATTAACACCAAATACAGTAAGCTGTTTTCTTTGAAGTAAGCTGTCTCCTTTTTTTTTTGATATAAAATCTGCCAAAAATATAGGTTTAGATAATCATAGTTTACTGTCCTTCATTTTTGCAAGTGAGAATGGTGAAATGCAGCTGTTATGCAACCTCTTTGTGGCTTGTTACATAGCCCTGTTCATGATTTGTTACACAATGTCTTCATGGGCATGATTTATGCATGTTTGCTGTTCTTCTCTATAGATTATTCAAGGATTGAGATTTTTTTTTTTTTTTTGGTCTTTTTGAGACAGGGTCTCCCTGTAGCCCCAGCTGTCCTGGAACTCACTATGTAGACCAGGCTGGCCTTGAACTCACAGAGATCCGCCTGCCTCTGCCTCCTGAGTGCTGGGGTTAAAGTCGTATGCCACCACGCCCGGCAAGGATTGAGATTTTAAACAATTAAGTTTTGCTACATTATTTGGCCACATCTTTACACTTTTTAGTTTTTTGAGACAGTATCTCATTCTGTAGAGATCAGCTGGTCTGAAACTTGCTTTGTATGCTAGGCTGGCCTTGAATTTACTGTGCTCCTCTTTTTGCTTTCTGGAGTTCCGGTGTGTGCCATCATACTTGGCTGGGAACATTCTTATTTTTGTTTTTATTTGAGAATCTCATATACCTATATAATGCATCTCGATCATATTTACCCCCCTCTATCCTTTCCCTTTCCTTCATGCTGCCTCCAACATACTCCCCTTCCACTTGCAAGTCTTTTTTTTCTAAGTCATTACTGAGTCCAGTTAGTGCTGCCTACATGTGATTGGATATGGGACCCATGTACTGAAACATGCACAACCTACCAGGGATCACACCCTTGAAGAAAACTGACTCTTCCTTTTCCAGCAGCCATCAACTGCCAGTAGCTCCTCAGGTAAAGGGAGAGCCTTGAGAATCCATCAACTACCAATGACTCCTCAGGTGCAGGTAGAGCTTTGAGAAACCTTCCTCCATCCATGTTAGAATGTTGAATGATTTGGTTTTATGCAGGTCTTCTGTAGGCAACTATAGCTGCTGTTAGTTCATGAGTACAACAGGCATTTCATGGCCATAAGACAGCATTTCACAGCACTTCTCTCCATTCTCCAGCTCTTTTTTCTTTCTTCATTCTTCAGCTCTTATATTCTTTCAGCCCCTTCTTCCTCTGTGTTCCTGAGCACCACCTGGGAGTGGTCAAGTAGTTGACCCATTTAGGGCTGAGTATCTAGCAGTCAGCCCTTTGATCAATTATGAGTCTCTATATTAACCATTGCTCACTGCAAAAGGTTTCTCTGACCATACTTGAGAGCAGCACCAATCTATGGCTATAAACATGAATACATAGAAGGCATTTTGGCATCATGACCTTTCTTTTATTTATTTAAAAAATATTTTATTATTTTTATTTTAAGTGTATCGTGCATTGCCTGCATGTAGGTAAGTTCACCCGTGTTATACAATGCCCACAGAGGACAAAAGAGATTGTCAGATCCCCTGGAACTGGAATTACGGACAGTTGTTAGCTGCCATGTGGGTACTGGGATACAAACCCAGGTCTTCTGCAAGAACAACCAGTGTTCTTAACCACTGAGCCATCTCTTAAGCCCCGGCATCATGACTTTTTGGCAAAACACTAGTAATAGGTTATCTGCCTGTCGCCTATGGCCTCCCCAGCCACAGCCTCTTGACCAGGTTTACACTATCAGACATGAGTGTTCTCTGTGGAACAGTCTGCAAATTCAACTAGAAAGTGTTTTTTACCTTATAACAGGCATGGTACTATTGTACCAGTGGGCACATTTTGCTTAGCAGGTTGGTGTGGTGGCATGCAGAGTGTGGCACTGGTTGAGACCTTGATGACTTTTTTCCCCAGTGGCCTGCATAGTACCTTGGAGCACTATGAAAGCTTGGCTGGGGGCAAAAACTTTGTTCTTAAACTGGATGCATAGTGGGGATAAATATTATGACTACTAACAAACACAGTGGGCACTACTGTCCTGCCTTGAAGTGAGATTCCAGCGTGAATTCTAGGTTTTGCATGATCAATTCATACTGTATAAAAATAATTTTGGCTTGGTAGATTCCCTGAGAAGGTTTTGGAGACCTTCAGGGAAGTATAGACCATACTTTGAGAATGGTTGCTCAGGGATATTTTACCAAAGAACTTTTTAGGCTTAACTGGGATGCTTGCCACTAAAAAATGAAGCTGGGAGTGGGGTGGGGTAAGGCATGTTATGCTAAAAAGAAAGAAAAGTTGAAGCTGACATTTTCTGGTGCCCTACCTGACTTTGTAGTTTTAGATGTGGGCTGTATATACAATAAGGTATATAAATGATAGATAGCAGTGATTATTATTAATTATATATACTATATATCTCATATGTCCCTAGATGGCCTCATATTTGGTATGTAGCTGAGGATGACCTTGAATTTCTGATCCTTCTGCCTCCTTTTATATGCTGGGATTATAGGTATGCATGCCTAATTTTATGCAGTGTTGGGGATCAAACCCAGAGCCTCATTCATGCTAGGCAAAGTCCTCCAACTGAGCTATATCCCTAGCAGCAGTGTTTTATGAAACCCTTCTCTCAGTGTCTTTATCTCAAATATAGGTGAGGCAATCAGGTGAGCAGAGGGCTGGCAGCAGGATTTCAGGGGCTGGCACAGCAGGCAGGACAGCTAGTGTGCCTGCCTCCCTCTGAAAAGTGATGTTTAAAATATTTTTATTTGTTATTTTATGTGTATGAGTGTATTGCCTGCTTGTATGTAAGTGCATCCATGTCATGTGATGACCACAGAGGTCAGAAAAGGGTGTTGGGTCCCCTGGAACTGGAGTTACAGATGGTTGTTAGTCACCATGTGGGTGCTGGGAATTGAAGAACCTGGGTCCTCTGCAAGAGCAGTCAGTGCTCCAACTGCTGAGCCATCTCTCCAGCCCTGAGAAGTGATGTTTAGAAGCATTTAGCTGGGGAACTTCTCTCTGTTGGGCTATTTCAGAAATTTAGAAACTAAAAAGTCAGTAATCTACCCAACAATACTAAAATTTTGGGGGTACTTTACAGGGGAGATGCTTAGTCGCTAGCCATCAGGGACAGCTGAGAATATGGCATAACTGTGGTTTGTATCTCTGCTTGTCTGTCACTGGGCTGCAGAGCTGACAGCTGCCACGGTGTGTTTTCACAGGTAGAACAGGGATGGTGCCTTCTGAGCTAGGCGTACTGCATCTGTGCAGTACTCAGACTGTACTAACAGTTGGTATAAATTCTCTAATTTCAAAGTATGTGATGTTTACTTTGGAATTTAAAAAATCTTCTGATTTTTGTTAAACAGTGTTCACCAATAAGGAGAAAAATACTTTTTGTCATTTTGGAGACCTTGTGGGGTAAGGGTCATTACTGGGTAGAAGACACTATTGTAGGGTGGTATCAGCTTTGTTTTTTTTCTCATTTGTAAGGTTTGACGTTACTGCCTGATGATCAGAGCCAGAAGTATAGATCTTCAGGAAATTCAGCCACAGCAGAGAAAGCCACTCTCTTCCTGCCGTCATACATGTACTCGAATCAAACCCAAGAAAAATTGCATGCTTCCAATGTTTTACCAAACGAGCAAAGCAATTTCTGTAGAGCTCCTCATCAAGATTTTGTCTTAACTTCAAAGAATGCTTCTGATTTGTTTTATGAATCACAGTATCAAGCAGCAGGTCTGAATAAAGGTGATTCAAAGGAAGAAAACCCTAACCATCTTACAGGTAAGTTAAATAACAGGGTTATCAAGTTGTCCTATAAGGGTCAGCCTTTCTGTATTTTTTCCCCTCATCCTCTGTTGCTTTAATTGTAAGGTGTACATGCTGCACAGCCACCAATGACCCTGAGCTGGGCCAGATTTTGGCATTCTAAGAACAGTTACTGACTTCATACTTTACAGGTAGCCTGTCTTCAAAGAGGGAGGCAGCAAGTTCTATGTGTATTGTGTTTCAGAGAGCTTAAAAAGAGTTTGAGGTTGTTGGGGCTAGTGAGATGGCTCAGTGGATAAGGGCATTTGCTGCCAAGTCTGACAACCTGAGTTCCATTTCCAGAACCTGTATAGTGAAAGGAGAGAACTGACTTCCACAGGTCATACTGAGTTCCACATATGCCCTGTGGAATGTGTATGTGTGCGCATGTACTTGGGCTTGTATGCATGCACACACGCAAATGTTAAAGGAAAGAAGAGTTTGATATTGATGAAAATCTTTGTGATAGCTTTGTGGGGGTGGGAGTTGACTTGGGCTGCAGGTCAACTGTGACATATGAAAAACAGGTTTGTGATGGAACTATTGTTACAAAAGAAATCCTTTTTAGCCCAGACACTTGGGTTGTCTTCATTGTTATATATGTGTTCTCAACACCCAGGCACATTCCTGCCAGAGAACTGGTAGTCAGTATTTGATGGTACAAACTACTGAATCTGTCTTGCCATTTCTAATAAATTTTTCTAGTCCCCCCCCCAGGAATCCAGAGCCTTACACATAACACATAATAGGCAAGTGCTCTACCACTGTGCTATACTCCTTAAGCTAGCCTTTTTATTTTTTCATTTTCATGTGTGCTTGTGAGCATGTTTTTAATATGGGTGGATACATATGTGTGAGTACACATGCACATGTGTCTCCATATATGTGGAGGTCCAAGGTTGATGTTGAGAATCATCCTCATTCTACTTTTTCATTCAGGCAGGGTCTCAGTCAAACCCAGAGCTCACTGATATGGCTGTCCCTGTCTAGGGAGTCCCCTGTCTCCACCTTCTGAGGCTACAATTATAGTTGGGTTGCCACATGTACCCAGTGTTTATGTAGGCCTCCAGGATCTGAACTCTAATCCTCATGCTTTCATGGCAAGCACTTTAACCATTGAGTCATCCCCTTTGCCTGCCATGTGTGGTGGTGCATGCCTTTAATTCCCGCACTTGGGAGGCAGAGGCAGGCAGATCTCTGTGAGTTCGAGGCCAGCCTGGTTTACATAGTTCCAGGCCAGCTGGGGCTACAGGGAGATCTTGTCTCAAAAAAATTAAAAAAAAAAAAGACACACAAAAAAGATGCCTGCCTCTTGTTCCACTTCTCTTGTCTTTACATTTTTGCAGTCATGAATATCATACCATAATAGTATGTTCTTTTTCTACTTAACATGGAAAATTCTTTGTGGTATGTTCAGCAATTTTCATCATTAGGTTAACCATCAAATGATGTATCTACTTAAAATTCTTTGATGAAGATAAAGGTTATTTCCAATATTTCTAAAATTCAGTTTTTAATTTTAATCTGTTTTCATTAATTTGCTTTTTGTTAGTGATACATGTTACAGAAAAACACAAATGACAAGATTAAAAGTGTCTATATTTAGTACTGAGTTCCTTTATGTCTAATGCTACAACCCCATTTTAGAGTAATTCATTGATATGAATAGGTCAAGTGTCTTTTCGTTCTTTTTTCCACAATATAGCTTTTTTATTGGAAAATTTCAAACATCCAGAAAAATTGAAAGACCACTGCAATGGTTATATGATTAATATTTTGCCATATTTACTTTGTCAATACGAATATGCATGCATGTATGTCTGTAAATCTATAACTGTGTATATATGTGCCATCAGCTTAGGTATTTCATTGTAAGTAATATGCAGGCATTACATACATCAAGTATTTTATAAATATGAAGTAAAAATTAGAGTATGGGGGCTGGAGAGATGGCTCAGCGGTTAAGAAAGAACACTGGTTGTTCTTGCAGAAGATCCAGGTTCAAATCCCAGCACCCACATGGCAGCTAACAACTGTCTGTAACTCCAGTCCCAGAGGATCTGACAGCCTCTTCTGACCTCTGTGGGTATTGCATGCCATGGGTGCACTTTCCCACATGCAGGCAATACACGCATACACATAAAATAAAAATAATAAATAAAATAAAAAAAAATCAAAGTATGTATATAGCTACAGTACTTTAATTATACATGAAGAAATTAAAAACAATTCCTTAATATTCATGCCCATTTGAAATCCCCCCTTCCCCCAAATGTCCTTAAAATGTTTTTTGAAAACAAGGATCCAGTCAGACTCATGTATTATGTTTGGTTATAAATATTTTGACTGTTTACTTTGTAAACATTCCCCTTCCCTCTTTTTTTTTTTTTTTTTTTAAGACTGAGTCTTCCTGTAGTCCTAGCTGCCCTGGAACTCACTATGTAGAACAGGCTGGCCTCAATCTCACAGATATGTGGCTGCCTATGCCTCCTAACTGCTGGGATTCAAGGCCTGCACCACCACACTCAGCTAAACATGCCTACTTTTTTTAAATTTTATTTTTATTTTATGTGTACATGTGTATTGCCTGCATGTGTGTAAGTGCACCCATGTCATCTAGTGCCTACAGAGATCAGAAGAGGGCATCAGATTCCCCTGAAACAGGAGTTACAGATGATTGTTGGCCTCCATGTGGGTGCTGGGAATCAAACCTGGGTCCTCTGCAAGAACAACCAGTACTCTTAACCACTGAGCCATCTCTCCAGCCCCTACTTTTTTATTTTTAAGATCTTGCAGGCCAGGCGTGATGGCTCATGCCTTTAATCCCAGCACTTGGGAGGCAGAGGCAGGCAGATCTTTGTGAGTTCAAGGCCAGCCTGGTCTACATAGTGAGTCCTGGTCAGCTGGGACTACAGGGAGACCCTGTCTCAAAAAGACAAATAAATAAATAAATAAATAAATAAATAAATAAATAAATAAATAAATGAAAGATCTTGCTTTTGTTTTTGTAGTGCTGGTGGGGATCAAACCTAGGGTGTGTGTTCACTAGGCAAGTGCTCCACATTGAGCCAAATCCCCAGTCCTATATATTAAATTTAATTAAATGTGTTTTAGCATAGTAACCTGTAATGTTCTCATGTCTTAAAACTTTATTCTGCTTTTTTGAACTAAATTGATCATAATTTTTGTCCTAGGAGAAGGTGTTTTGCCATGTTGGGAGAAGATGATGGGACAGATTCAGGAAGGGAAGGATATGAATTTAAAACAAAATGATGATTCCTCAGAAGTGGTTAATATTGAAGAAAGGTATTATTCATATGGAAAGAAATAAGAAGTATAATTGCTTAGTATAATAGCTGGCCTTTATTATTGAGCTCTGTTTGTTTGTTTGAAAGTTCTATGCTTTTCTTGGTTTCACTTGAATATGCTTCAGGCGTGGGTTGATGATATAAGTCATTGTGTACTGTCAGTAAGAGGATGTGGATGAGTGAGAGGTCAGTTCAAGTTGCCCTGACATTGTACTGAAAGAATTGAGTAGAGTTTTCTCACTTAGGAGAAACATCTGGAAAAAAATTAACCTGCTGGGAGTTGTGACATAAGCCTGTAGTCCCAGCCCTTGGGAGGATGAGGGTTTAACAGCACATTAGAGGAAAGCCTGGGATATAGTGTGCCCTGACTAAAATGAAACAAAAGCTTCTCTCATAGTGAAATCTGTCGTGGAGAAAAGGAAAACCAGAGTTTGGAATTTCACATTTAGTGTCAGTTATAAATTATAATTTTGTAATTAAAGTTAGAAAATTAAAAAATGTATGTCAAAGATAAAGTATGTTTTAAATAGGTTTTTTAAATATATATAGTTTAAAATATGTTATAGGCAAATAACTTCTGGTTGTGTCTGCTCACATTGTTAAGGAACTTTCTTAATTTAGAAATATATACTTAAGGGCTGGAGAGATGGCTCAGTGGTTAAGAACACTGGTTGTTCTTGCAGAAGACCCAGGTTTAAATCCCAGCACCCACATGGCAGCTAACAACTGTCCAAACTCCAGTCCCAGGGGATCTGACAGCCTCTTCTGACCTCCGCGGGCCTTGCACGACACGGGTGCACTTACCTACATGCTGGCAATACATACATACACATAAAAATAAGAAAAAAAAAAGAAATACATACTTAATAAACTAAAATATGTTTAATGTTATATAAGGAGTATGTTACTTTATATAGTAAATATACAGTTCAGGAGGATTCTTAAGTGCTCTCCAGTCATGCGCAGAGGGAAGGGTTATAGCTTTTATTAGACTCTCAAAGGAGAAGTTAAATGAGGCCTTTAAAATTTTCTTTCTTTTTTTTTGGGGGGGGGTTGTCTTTTTTGAGACAGGATCTCCCTGTAGCCCCGGCTGTCCTGGAACTCACTATGTAGACCAGGCTGGCCTTGAACTCACAGAGATCCACCTGCTTCTGCCTCTGCTGGGATTAAAGGCATGCATCACCACGCCCGGCAAAATTTTATTTCTTTATATTTATTATTATTGGTGTGTGTGTGTAGGTATAGGTGTCATAGTGTATGTGTGGATGTCAAAGGATAAGTGTAAAGGGGGTTGTTTTGCTCCTTCTACTATGGGTTTTGGAGACCAAACTCAGGTTATCAGGCTTCTGCTGTAAGTGCTTTTACCCACTGAACCATTTCACTGACCCTGTTTTATTTTGAGACAGTGTCTTGCTGTGTACCCCTGGCTGGCCTCAAACTTACTGAGATTATAGGTGTGTGCCACTATGCCCAGTTTAAAAGGAAGTCCTTGACATGTTAAAAAATTTAGGGAGAGGGGCTGGAGAGATGGCTCAGTGGTTAAGAGCACTGACTGCTCTTAGAGAGGACCCAGGCTCGATTCCCAGCACCCACATGACGGCTATGAACCGTCCTTAACTCCAGGTCCAGGGGAATCTGAAGCCCTCTTCTGACCTCCGTGGCATTGCACGACAGGACATGGGTACATTCACATACATGCAGGCAATACACTCATACACATAAAATAAAAATAATAAAATATTTAAAAAAAATTTTTTTTGGAGACAGGAGCTTACTATGTAGCTCTGACTGGCCTGGTACTCCCTGTGTAGCCACATGAGTTAGTGCTCATGGTAATCCTCCTGCTTCAGCCTCCTAGTGCTAGGATTACAGACACATATCATGATGCCTTCCACTTTTTTTCCCCTCGGGACTGAATCTAGGGTCTTTTGCATGCTAAGCCCATGTTTTACTGTTAAACTGTACTCTGGTCCCTGCTCCTAGAAAGAAATTAGTTTACAGTGTAGTCTGGGGTGTTTAAGTGAGGCGCACTGACTGTAAAATGTTTACATTACAAGTTCAATGCTAAGTAACTTTATTTTTATGATTAGGCCTATTAAAGCTGTCATTAGAGAAAAGAAACAGACATTCGAAGACTACTTAGAAGAACAGATTCAGCTGGAAGAACAAGAACTGAAACAAAAACAGCTAAGGGTTAGCATCTGTACTGTTTTGATTAAGTAAACCATTAAAGAGTATAATTCAGTTTCAAATAATTGAGATTACTTAGGTATCCTGAATTAATTCATATTTTGTCCTTTTATTTTAGGAAGCAGAAGGACCATTGCTGTTGAAAGCAAAACCCAAACATCCATTTTTAAAACGAGGAGAAGGCTTAGCTAGGTTTACTAATGTTAAATCTAAGTTTCAAAAAGGGAAAGGAAGTAAACTAGGGACTAACCAGAGCCCTTCAGAGGACCAGTCTGTATTTAAAGCAGATAGACAACAATTCCAGCGAAAAACTGCTCTTATAAATAAAGAACTGTGTGCAGAGACCCCAACTGTTAAAAAGGACAATAAAGCCAGAACCAAGGCTGGTTCTCTCACAGTCAGCCAGAAACCCAAAGCGATGAAGAGCAATATTAGGAAAAGTCTCTCTCCACCAGGACTGAAAATACAGACAGGGAAGAAATGTGATGGGCAATTTAGAGACCAGATCAAATTAGAAAAGAACATACAATCTCATAATAAGGAAAATTCACCTGTGTGTGTGAAGCCCTGTGATGCTGGTTGCAAGGTATGGAATAAGACACAGGGAAGAGAGAGACTTCCTCTTTCAACAGGACCAGTTAGTGGTGTGGCTTCTATGAGCCTGACGAGTGAGGCTATGAAGGAGACAGAGTCTTCCCTTGACATTTCTTTTCAGAAAAAATTAGAGAACTGGGAACGAGAAAAAGAAAAGGAAAATTTGGAACTGGATGAATTTTTATTTTTAGAACGGGCTGCTGATGAAATATCATTTTCTAGTAATTCCTCATTTGTATTGAAAATCTTAGAAAGAGATCAACAGATCTGCGAAGGTCACAGGATGTCTTCTACCCCTGTCAAAGCTGTGCAGCAGGAGAAGGCACATCAGGTGGATGCCAGTGGTCAGAGGAACCACGGTGAGGATCCCTGCCATAATGTTGCATGTGAGAGTAAGAGTGAGTGTGAGGTTGTACTCACGCCACACAGTTCATCAGCCTTGCCTGATGCTTTGCGGGAACTGTCCTGTAAAACCAAAAGGAAAGCCTGCCAAACCAGCATTTGTGAAAACCAGAATGGATGGGATGCAAATGATGATGAAGGAGTTACAAACAGTGACAGAAGCACTGACTCTGAAGAGCAGCTTGATGTTACCATAAAACCATATGCTGAGGTTGGGGAAAGAACATTCAGCAACAGAGAGGATAGTCCACAAGTCTGTGATGCTAAAGGACCTTTTAGAGACAGCAGAACTCAAGAAGATAAAAGGAGAGATGTTGATCTAGATCTGTCTGATAAAGAATATAGCAGTGATGAGTCTGTCGTAGTAGAGAGCCTGAAAAATAAGGTATCTGAGCCACCCAGAAGAGCCTCGTCTCAAGACATGAGTCCAATTGACTTTGATGATGAAAGATCTTGGACAGATCTTGAAGAGAGTTCATATAAACATAATGGTGTTCTCAGAGATGAAGCCATTTATGGTACACATCAGACACAGTACCCTAAGAGTGAAATATGTGTTCTGGACAGAACAATAAAAAGGAAGGTTGCACCAGTTAAGAAGGGAGAAGACTTCAGCAAGTCTGGTAGGAGCAGAAGTCCCCCTCCTCCATCTGATTTGATGGTAAAATTCTTCCCTTCATTGAAACCAAAGCCAAAATCACATTCACACTTAGGAAATGAACACAAGTTAAATATGAGTCAAGACCAACCACCAGGTAAGTCAAGGCGTTAGAAATGTCACAGCCATGTGCTGCACTGACTTTTCTTATATGTGCATAATTTTCATATCCAGGAAGTCCTTTGTCTCTTTAGCATGTCCAAATCGCCAGCACCATTTTTTCTTGTCCTTTGGGGCCATTAAGGGCTGTTTAAACATGAACATCATAATTCCACAAGAGTGGATCATAACCCAAGATGGATACTAAGTGGCTAATGAATAGCAGTGTATGTATGTCTGGGCACATAATGCCATGGCATGTGTGTGGAGGCCAGAGGATAACTTTTGAGAGTTAGTTCTCTCCTACCATGTGGGTCCTGGGTATCAAACTCAGGTTATCAGGCTTGATGGCAAATACCCTTACCTGCTGAGTCATTGTGCTGGCTCCTTTCTGTTATTATAAAAACTCTGAATACCTAGCTGAGAATTAGATGCTTTAAAATATAAATTGCAATTTGACCTATTAAAAATATTCTGGTTTTCAAGTTATTAACTTTTTTTTGGAATTATGAACTTAAAACTTCATTTTTAGCATTACTTAGGAGAATAAAATACTGAAAATGTTTAATATATACAAAATGAGCGAATGGTCAAATTTTATTATAAATTGAAAATTGTGACTTTATGAAAATATAACAGACTATTCATGTGAGCCTGATGATGCCATGAAAATTTGTATCAACATGAGCATTGGTACATAAAAAGATGAATTTAAAATAGAAACTTGAAATTGAAAGGTTGATGTGAAAAATACATCTTGGTGGCAGAACTTGGGTAATACTTTTTTGAAAAGAAACCTTGTTACAATATTGAACCTGCAGAAAAGTAAAAATATGTACTAGATTGTCAGTGCTCCTATGTGAGTGCATTGGAGGTAAAACATGGCTGGATCTACATTACAAAGATGTGATTGTTAACTTTGTCTTAACTCGAAGGAACAAGAATGGTTTCAATAATAAAACACGAAGAAATCGGAAGTAAAACAAAAACAAATTCTGGTTTTAAAAAGTAATACTTTTTGTAGGAAGTTTGGAGTTTAAAATGTAATGAGGCAAAAACCAGCTGGGCGTGGTGGCACACGCCTGTAGTCCTAGCACTTGGGAGGCAGAGGCAGGCGGATCTCTGTGAGTTCAAGGCCAGCCTGGTCTATAGTGAGTTCCAGGACAGCTGGGGCTATAGGGAGACCCTGCTTCAAAAAGATAAAAAAAAAAAAAAGTAATGAGGCAAAAACCAAAGCATATAGTTTCTATGCCATTTTGAGGTCTTTTAGCCATTTGTCCTACATATTTTTATGTGAGACAGGTATTAAAGATTATATTATTTTTAATTTATGTGTATGAGTGTATTGCCTGCATGTATGTGAGTGCACCGTGTCATGCAGTGCCTCAGAACTCCTGGAACTGGAATTAAGGATGGTTCATAGTCACGTGGGTGCTAGGAATTGAACCCGGGTCCTCCAAGCAGTCAGTGCTCTTAACTGCTGAGCCATCTAGCCATTTCTCCAGCCCCTGTTTTTGCTTTTTAAAAAACTAGTTTGGCCTGAACTTGTTGTGAAGTCCAGGCTGCCTTTGAACTTAATCCTCCTGTCTCACCTTTCTAAGTGTTAGGATTACAAGTGCTAGGATTACTCATGTTCATCTTGAATTTCTTTGATTAATACTAGGAGTTAAGTTTTGATTTTGATACTGATTAACCCTTTAGAGCTCATGTAAATTATTCATGTTCTATATTTTCTAGTTTTTAAATTTTTTGATTTTTTTCTTTTTTTGTCTTTTAGAGACAGGGTCTACTTGTAGCCCCAGCTGTGCTGGAACTCACTATGTAGACCAGGCTGGGATTAAAGGCATGCACTACCACGCCTCGCTTTTTTTTTTTTTTTTTTTTTTAAACCTGCAATGTCAATCACTTTTTGGTCTGGAACTTACTTTGTAGACCAAGCCGGCTTTGAACTTGTGGTAAGACCCCTGCCTCTGTCTCTTGAGTGCTAGGATTATAGACATACAGCATGTCCAGAACTCTTATATTTAAGCTGCTTTCCTTTATTTGTCTCTCCTTCCCTTTCTTCTATTTGAATTTCTTTTTAAAAAAATTTTTTTTTATTTTTAATTTTTAAAAATTTAATAACCACATAATTAGAAGAAGCATTTCATTACAGCATTAACATATTCAGTAATAACAATTTTCTGAGCTAAGATGAATCTTTTTTCAAAATTGGCTGTAAATTTTTTAGGTTTACAGTTGAATTGTTACAGTTATACAATATTGTACTCAGTATAAACCCTATGAGACATAAAATTAAATGAGGTTTTAAACTTTAAAAACGATCTCCATTTCATTATTAAAATACATATTCT